GCATCCATCCGTCAGGAATTAGAGATGATAGAAGTGTCAATGATCTGCTGGGTCTGTTACTGCTTTTGTAGGATCTCTGTGTCAAAAAATAAAAGGTGCTTCTTCCTTTCTCTTCTGATCTGATAAAATAGATATTTTTGGGGGTTATATTAGGGGCTTTTCAGGCAAGTAAAGCTAATGCCCTGGTACTGGTTTATACAGTGAAAGATGAGGCAAGAGAGGTACACGTTTATTGTCTCGCACTTGGATGGCAGCCATGCCACCAGAAATTCTGGCAGATGTTTTAACACTGTCCATGCTACTAGTCTTTTGCATCATCCTTTTACTTGGTACTGACATATCTGAAGGTGTTCTATAACTATGTTTCTTACCTCTGTTTACTTCCAGCTTTTCCAGGTTAACTTTGGCATTGAGACAATAGTGCTGGGTTGTCTGTCTTTCAGCACAGTAGCGTTCTCTGCCCTACTCAGCACTGACCCTTTAGCACCAGGAACTGTGATTGCAACACCCTCCTTAACTTATGGGACAGTCCTGGAAGACAAGTTTGAAACCCACTGGTTGCTTATGTATGTAGTTACAGTTTTTATAACATAGTCTTAGCTAAAACAAGACACAGGTGTGTGTGTGTGTATGCACGCTGAATTTTTGGAAACAAGCTAATCCTCAGTTTTCCTTTCAGATGCTTCCCTCATTCACAGATGTTTACTTGAGAGAGCATTTCCACAAGGGCTCATGAGATTACTGGTCTGGTATATCATGATGAGGAGTGTCCCTTTCGGTATTTTCCATCAGTGAAGAAAAACTTTTTCTGTACTCTGGTGAAATTTTCTGTCTGCTACCACCATTTCTGGTGTCGCTGTCTCGTAATCAAGCTATTTTGGAGCTCACTAACCATGAGGGACAAGGTTTTCCAAATATTCTATTACCTGAAAAACGGGACTTCTATGTATGGGTGTACCTCAATCTTTCTTGGTGATGACTGTTGTATTGGAAGAGGCTACATCCTCCTTGAGACTTAAAGTGGAAATACTTGGATGGTCTGCAGAAACTAGGACCTCCAGAAGTCCTGTCTAACCTAAATTAGTCAGTTCTCTCATTCAGCATATTCACCACTGGTGTAATGAGTTCCTGTAGTAAGGAAAGCTTGTTCCTGTTCTGCTCACTGTAGTATAATAGCACTTATTGTTGAGATGATCTGTGATTCATCTAGGGTTTCAGTCGCTGTGTTCCTTTGCTATAATATGACCATTCTACTTAAGGGGGCAGAATGTTGGAGATGACAAGTAGTCACATAAAGTGGGATTCCTCATCTAATTGTAAATGTCTAGACATCTTATAGTCAGTGAGAGGGGAAATAGCACCTGTGGGATACAACTTAATCTCCATCTAAGGCTGGTGAGTCATGCCGCAGAAATGACTGTTTCCCCCGGATGGCTGTGAAGAGATGCAGTGAATATATAAGGTCATCATATACGTCAGAACAAGCTCTAAATTTGGGGAGATAAATCTCATTCTTAATGGTTCGTTGTGTTTGTTAGGACCGCTACATGGTTAATAAAAACAAAAGTGCTTTGTTTAAAGAATGTTTGTACATAGTGTTGAACAGCAACAATCTATGGGATCTGGCTGATGAACAATGGTTTTGTGAAGGTCAGGCCAGTCCAACACTCAAGATCAGAGAAAGAGCAACGCTGGTGGGGTCGAGAATTAACAGCACTGTTGGAGGTCCAAAGATGGGACATGGTAGAAATCTTCAAAGGCTACAAACTGTATATAATCTGAAAGGATGGTCCTTGTGGGTATTATTTTCTGCATGATCATCACTGAAACATCTAAACGTGCTGGATGGAAGCCCAGCTCCACACCCCAGTGCTTTGGCTGGCTACCAAACAGTACTTGGGCAACTGAAATTGGTAAACCACAGAAACTAAAGGAAAGTGTGAGTGGATGAGTGTATGTTTGTGCTTGCAAGCACTTTTAGCAAGTAAGAATGAAGATTTTTTGCTTTGTAATTACCTTACTTAGAGACAAGTATTAACATTAAGAATTGATGGCACTGTTACTTTATTTAAAAGGTAACTGTATAACACTTTCTACTATAAAACTGAAGAAAACAATAGGAATGTCTCTTAAGCTGTGGTCTAGGAGGACAGCCCAGAGGGATGAGTTTAAGTATTTCTTTACTAAATTTTGGTGATTTATTACATCAAATGTTTAATATCCTATTACCCAAGCTGAGCTCATTGTCTTTTATGAAGGATTTAACTCCGAGCTGTCTCAGTAGCTGTATCTCTTCAGCAGCCTTCAGTTTTTCCAAAATACATCTTTTAAAGCTAGACAAGATGGCATCTAACTAAAGATTCTTGAGATTCTTGGAGACAAATAACTTGCAAATAAATCAAAGTCAGGGCAAGAATTGATCCTTGAAGGAAACTTTCTTTTCCTTCTGGATTGTCTACAAGCTCAGCTTCTTGCCTAGTATATCTTTAGAATTGTCTTTCTTCAAGTATCATTTCTGAATCTAAAATAATACCTGTATTTTATCATCTTGCCCATCTGAACATTGTGCTAGGTGGTGTTCTTTGCTGCTACTGTGTCCGAGGAAGAAGTAGTGGCAAGAATTTGGAGGTTGCCTGAAGCCTTATAGTTGGCTGTCCATACCTTTTCTGTTGTGGGCATGTTTCTTTTCCAGGTTTTCAATTACAGAGTTTGTAAACTTGCTTGAGGAGTTCTATTGCATGATTACTATCTGGAAGAAAGCTATTTTTCCCCCTGGCTTTAATAGATTAGCTGTTACCTTATTGCTCTGATACAACTTGAACATCTTACTCTTGTGGAAGACTTGGGACATAAGTTGACACTAACTGTTAACTCATGTGATGCTATTCTTAGAAAGATAACAAAGCTGAAAGCTCTCAGTTTCGGGCAGTTTGAGTGTACTTTCCTCTTTTTTGATGAAGAATAGTTAGAACTTACTTACTTTGCCCCCAAATGGACTTAGTCTATGTGAACTCACTTCTGTCTTATATCTGCTCCCCAAATAGCTCACTGCTGTTAGCTTTTACTGCATTAACTGTAAGTGTGGCGCTGTTACGTGGGAAGATTTCATGTGTCTGCCTGTTTCTTTTCAGTTTCAGTCTTCCTTATGACTTAGTATGCTCCTGCGGTAGATTTGGTAATGTTTGTTTAACTTGACTCCTCCCTGTGTCAGTGAAGTGGCTGAATACCTCTGGGACCTTTCTGTTTAACCGTTTCCTTGATAAATACTATGTGGTGTGTATCTTACAGTCTTATTTATGGTCCTAGGTATTTTTTCCCCCATACAGTTTCTTTAGTTTTAGTGCAGTTTAGGGTTGGTGGTTGTTAAGCACATCGTTATTCCTGTTCATTGCTAATACGGCAGAAGCATCAGTGAAGTCAGGAGGCAGCTTCAAAAATTATCATCTGCCGTGGTCAGGAGAGTAGATTTGCTTCTGATGGTCAGAGAGAAAGCAGTCAGGCTGTACAGAGGTCACAAGAAATACAGATATTTTTTGGGTTTTTTTTTTTAGATGTGTAATCTTAAAGATTGGAGTTCACGTACAGTAGGATAACACCAGGTATCTGAAACACTCACTGCAAGTCACTGGAGTGTAGGCAGAAGTGATGTGTTCTGGTACAGAGTAGAAGTCTTACTACCTTTTAGAAATTTAAACTGCTACATTATAACACTAAGTAGAGTCAAAATGGAGGTTCTGTGAAATATCATAGGACACTGGCTCTCACATGGATGGCTTTGCAAACTTTTCCAAGAAGGTTGTAGCTAACAGTGGCAGACTTACTTTTTTTTTTTCCTACCTGTATTTTTGTTTGCCCCTACTTTTTTGGGTGCTGATTCCATTGACCATGAAGCCCTTTTATTCCTGACTCTCTTGTGGAGAGGAGACCCTTGGCACAATTTAAAGTAGATACATACGATACCACTGTGTAATCATGGTCTGTTCAGATTGCAATTGTTGAACAATTGCTACTTCTGTGTTATTTGGACCAAGGACCAATTTCATGGATGTAGAGATTGGCTATGTCCAAGTTTTGTACCGGGTCAAGACCTGGACAAGAACCATCACTTCTGTATTTTTTTGTCCATGTGAAGGCTATTTAGGGGTGTGGGCAGGACAGGAATGATAACGTGCTGAAGCATATCACCAAGAGACAGGATTTTGAGGTGCACTAGAGCCTGACTGGTTCATGTTTCAGAGAACTAGAGTTCACAGGGAAGTTTTTCTTTTCTTTTGAGAATGATACTATAACCTTATAACCTCTGATTCAGAGAGATTGGGGAGGGCTAATTCATTAAAAAGTAAAAGCATTTGGTTACATTTCTTTGGCAGCAAAACAAGCTAGCTAGCCCTTTTAACTTTCAGTCGTATTTAAAATAATCAAACAATCCCTTTTAATTTGTGTAAATCATGAGTCTAAAAGCTAGAGAGGAAACGAGACTTATTGAGTCTTTTTTTTTTTAATACAACTGTTGCTATAGTGAACATTAACTAGAGTATTGCACAATGTTCAAATTTTAAGCTATATCCATAAACTGGACACTTGTGATAATTATGTTCATTACAGATTTATTCCATGTCATGATTTGGGGGGTATTATTTTTATGGATAATATGAAATAGGAATAAATTTAAGATTAGCAAGCATACCTTTTCATCTGTATCAGCTTACTCCTTCATCAGAGGCTTTCACATAAAATATTCATATAACAAAACAAAACCAGATCTGGTTTTGCTAAGCTTTTTTCTAAGCTTTTTAACCATTAGAAGTAAAAAATATTTAACCATTTAGAAGTAAAAGGCTTAAGGTTTTTATTTCGTTCGTGTGTGTGGTTTGTTCCATTTTGAATACCAGCTACCTACCTGTTTATACTGCATTTTTTTCCTGGGGAAGCCCTCCTGTTGGTGTCTGATATGCTAAATTAAGAGCAAAGATTTGTTTAGTTGCTCATTCTTTTTGCAGGTGAAGAAAGCCTTTTTTGCCTTGGTGGCAAATGGTGTGAGAGCAGCTCCACTGTGGGAGAGTAAAAAACAGAGTTTTGTAGGTAAGTAGTTCTAACATTATTCAGCATTACTTGAATTTCCAGGGTGCTTTGCTGTTGCAGACGGTTGTCTGGGGCTAGCCATGGTCTAACATCCTAGAGATAGCCAGGCAAAGAGGGTGTCTTTTTCCTCCTTGTGAGGAGTGAAATGTCGCCAGCTTTCATGGTGTTGCTGTGCTTTGGAATCATGATGATTCTTTTAGGTCCTGACCTTCTGAAATTTGGTCTCTAATATGTGCATTTCGCTGTGTATTTAAAAATAAAGGTAACAGTCACAAAAAGAAAATTTGAAAATAGGAACTATAAAAAGAATTTAATGTTACAGTATTCTAATATACATGTGATTCAAGCATCTCTTTCTCTGCACATTCTCAGTAAGGTGCACTGAGAAATCTTTAAATAGCAGAACTAATGTTGAATGATTCAGATGTGTCCCATATTGGGAGAAAAACATTAGATCCATGTATTGTTTTGGGTTTTTTTTAAATCACGTAATTAATTGCCACAACGATAATCTTCCAAAATTAGATCTCTGCTGCAGTTAGAAAACAGGGTCATAGTGGCAGTTACAAAAATTATTATATGTACTTCATCTGACCTGGAATGTAGATTGAGGATTCTTGGAAATGAATGGTAGACACTTTATAAAGCATTTGTTAAAATATTTTTAAATCTGAGGGGGGAGGAGCAGTAGTTTCATGCAATACATCATAAGAATGTTGTGTCACAGACATAAGCTGTGTCTTTTATATTTCATTTCATTTCATTTTCTGTCTGTAACTAAGCTGTAGTGATTTAAAGCTGACCTCTAGATTAATTTTTCCCTTCCCCACTTCTTAGTTTCTTCAGTTTAGATGTAAGAGTAGTAAACAGTGGAGCAATTACATCTTCTCAAATTTAGAACTTGAAAGCTCAAAAAAAGATTAATGTTTTCAGGTAACTAAAATAATCATCAATATTATGTTATGTAGTTTGGTGTTGGTTAGAATGTATATACTGTGGATGTACTGTCTTTTTTTTAAAAAAAAAAAAATACATTTCAATACAGATGTTGAGGATTACCATAGAAATGATTGAATTAAGTTCTTTAGTAAGTAATGTTCAGCAAAATGAATTACAGTGTTCTTTCATTTGAGTCTGAGAGTCTGCTTGACTTGGCAAATACATAATGAGAGTGTGTCTTATTTGAAAAGAAAACGAAAGGCAAGGGTAGATCTCCAGCCTTTAAAGATGTTCTAAACCCCCTTTTCTCTTTCCACACTTTTGGGGGTGTGGATGCAGTCTGGATTCAAGGTTTTCTTTGAGTCAGCTTGGAAGAAGAGGAGAAACACATAGGCTATAATTTTGAATATTAATTCAGATGCATGTTTTTATTCTGAAGTATTGTATCATTGTGAAAGTTTGGAATACAAAGTTTGGAATTCCACTGTTGATTAGTCTAGTACAAATAGTATGTTAAATTGATTTAACGTTTATTAAATTATATATTGTTAATATAAATAGAGAAAATAGCTGGAAGTTCTATATGTTAAATATATATCTGAAGAACTTTTTTTTATATATCACTTGTTACAGGAATGTTAACAATTACAGATTTCATTAACATACTGCATAGATACTATAAGTCTCCAATGGTAAGTATGATGTTAAGCTATACTTTTATCATTTGCCATACAGCACAGAGACTGAAACTGAAAGATTGATGATTATTATTATTTTTATATAAGTCTTTGGAAACTTAGATATTTCATGGGTATACTCACTGCAGGAGTGTTTTTTGAAAGAAGTGATTGTTTTGTGAGCAAGGTAATAGAATGGTATCTGGATACCTGAGTTCAGTTCCCAGCTTCAGCCATGAAGGTGCTATGAGCTTGGGCAGGTAACCTAATCTGTCTGCTTCAGTTATACATGTATAAACATGAGGAATTTCCTTAATGAGTGCTACCGTGTATTATGTTTTGTGTGGCGCTTACCATAATGATAGGCTTCGTTTTGGATATGAGGCTCCACTTAGTATTGCAACTAATGAATAATGCATTTGGGATAAAGGACCTGGCTTAATGTACTTACTTTTTATATCACATTTAGTTTTTAGTATGAAGGAAAATACTTGCTTGTTGATCACTGTGTTTATTTGTGTTCAGCTTGTTTCAGAGCACACAATTAATAGTAATCACAGCTCTATATAAATGGCGAATATCAACCAAAAAGCATTTGGGGAGGATGTCTTTAAGTTACATGAAAAAGTTCATTGCATTTAAAAGTCAAGTATGTAGCTATTCATGGGTCACATGTTTATACAATCATCTTTGTCTCATAACTGTGATAGAGCTATTCCAAAAGGAGTATACAGAGTTCAGCAAAATGCTAGTTCACAGAGGCCTGGACGCATTAAAAGGTTACTCTGTTCTTGGAGTGATGGTGTAGAATAAACAATTTAAACCAGTTAAATATATGCAGATCTTTTAGTTACATGGCTGAGTTGCACAATCAGTTGGAGATCTGTTGAGTTCAATTAACTGTAATTTAAAATTCCCATTGGCAGTCAGTTGATGAAATTCTCTAGCCTGCATGTTCATACAAACATTTACATCCCTTTCTTGTTCCTGTCAGATCACAATTCCCCCTCTACCTAGTAAAACATACGTACTATGTTTTACTAGCTAAAAAATCAAGAGCAGCTGGATGAAGCAGACATCTGATGTATCAGGCTTTTCAAAGCTCATGATAATTTTTTAAATTTATAGTGAAATTCTTGTCAAATGCCAATATTGTGGTGTACTGTCCTTTCTTCTTATTAAAGATTTTCTTTTTTTTTTTTGCCCTGGGGATTTACAAGGGGTGGAGAGAGAAGCAAATGAAAAGTGATTGCACGCTGGTAACTTCCTTAAAATGGTTTCGATATTGTAACAAACCTCAATACTACCAATGTTTTCATGTAACTTTACATAAGGTCTGACTGTTGTCACTCCTGTTTACATTGTCTAACACCCTGTACTATAGGTTGTGCTTAAAATGGCAGCAGTAAGGACAACTAGTTGAGAAGCGACAACATTTGATTTAAATGATTGATGCAGTCTTCTGCTGGAAAAAAAAAAAAAGAAATAAAGAAAATAATGTTCCATCAGGGAATGCTCTAGTCTTAATAGGTAAAATTACGCTGAAAATATAATTCTTAAGTGTTTTAGCCATTCTTATCTAAATGCCTCACAACACATACAGTGTGAAGCATGTTGCTGTTCATGTACTAGATAATACCTTTAAATGACTGATGAGGAACATCCAGGTAGTTTCTCCCTATAGTGTGATCCAAGAACTAGGTTTAGCCTCATCTCATCAGCATCTAAAGTGGTCTCCTAGTCTTCTGACAACTTCAGCAGATCTTCTGAACTGCATTTCACTGGCTTAACTGCCTTTTTTTGTCAAGCGCCCTTAAAGATGATTTAACTTACTCACCCAGGTATCTTTTATATCAGCCAAAAATGGTATATTTTAGGAGTCCAATTATAGTATGTCAATTTAACATTCCCTTATAATCTTCAAAGGATGCTAATTCCAGAGAGTAATCTAAGCATTGTCTCCTTTAGCTCAAAGATAAATGTAGTAGGCTTTATGGAGACTTCTACCCCTCACCTGAAAACTCTTCAGCTTCAGCAGCGTTACAGAGGTGCCTGACAGAGAAGAGGGATAACGGGCACCTTTGGCCTAGGCTGTAGCAAGTACAATTACTATTACAGGTGTCTGTCTTGCAGCCTGATACCTTTAGAGAAAGGCAGCTTTCCCATCTGGAACATTTTTTAGAAAACCATTGGCAAGATGGAAGGAGCTACTGTAGGGAGGTGATACAATCTTTTGACAACGAACTTTGTGGAACAGCTGCTGAACAGCAGGAAGTTGGTGATGTGACAGTGTCTTTTTTTGGTTTTGGTGTGTTTTAAACTTCAAAGACTGGACTCTTGAGGGTGGTTTGATGTTATTGCTAATCTGATCTGATAATAAGCTGCTATCAAAAGGTGCAGACTTGCCACATCCTTTGTCCAGTATCGTTTGCTTGTCCTTTTTGCACACCAGTTAAGGAAGCTAAACTAGCAGAAAACTGACAACATTTTTGTAACTTTTCTTGCCTGTTTGGCTCAGCTGAACTCAGGTCAGATGAGTGCAGGAGAAATGCTGAGAGCATGCATGGCTTAGATGCAGTGTCTGAAAACATTTGAAGAATCTAACATCCGTAAAAGATTAAACTTGAGGGCAGGGGGGAATACAATATTTGTTCTTCTGATTGAACTGAGCACTAAACCAATTGCTCTTGCTTGTTTGTCATCGAGTAACAGTAAAATTCATCTCTTAATGTTAAGAAGTCAAGTGATCAGGGCAAGCTTTTTACTGGTTTGGGGGTGTGAGGAATCATTAGAGGGTTTACTCTGACATGATTGTGTTAAGGTGAGATAAATTACTGAGGAGATGCCTTTGAGTCTGTAAGAGATCTAGACTACAAACCTAGGCAGGTAAAAAATCTTTCCTGTCCCCTGAAATGATAGGTCCCGTGTGGTACTCTGCACTGAGCAGTATTGCACCCTGTCTTCTTGTTATTGCTGAGAAATGTTATTCTGTACTGTTCTTACTCTGTTAGATTGCCTGCAATGAAACGTAAGGAAATTATTCAGATATTTATAATATTGTTAATGATGTTGGGTTTAAAATTAATACTTCAAGCTAAACTTTCCATCTGCCCGTCGTAGGTTCAGATATATGAATTGGAGGAACACAAGATAGAAACTTGGAGAGGTAAGAATATTTACTACTTGGTTGATAATTTTAAATGTTCTAATGTTTTTCAGTATAGTGGATTTTTAATTAATCATAGACTTAGCTTGTCTCTCCACATACTTTTTAATGAATGCAGAAATAGTAAAAGCTTGTCTTTTGGCTCCTGCTGCTTATTTTTCTACTTGAAACAGCACATGGACTAGAGTCGTCTGGGCTATACCACTTGTTCATGATTGGTACCATTTTGCTCTTTAAGAAAGAAAAAAAGAAACTGGAGTATGTATGGCTGTAGAGTTGATGAATATATGTTAAATGGAAATGTATCTGAGGCAGGATGTGGAATGAATAGGTGACGCTCTGTACCGAGTGAACTGATGGATGAACAACAAGCTATGCCTGAGTGAATTGCATGATGCGACTAGAAATTCATAGAACTTGCTGGGTGTGAACAGAAGTGCTGAATGCAGGGAGGAAGCTGTATGTCAAAAACAGACTATATGCCATGAAATAATATTTAGAAGTACTGTATGCTGCAGACCCTCTCAGAAGAGGAAATGGTAAAGAATTACTTGCTGTTGTTGCAGTGACCCCTAGTGGAGCACTGGCACAGGCTGCCCAGAGAGGTGGTGGAGTCTCCCACTCTGGAGACATTCAAAACCCACCTGGACGCTGTCCTGTGCAACGTGCTGTAGGTGACCCTGCTCTGGCAGGGGGGTTGGACTAGATGATCTCCAAAGGTCCCTTCCAACCTTAACCATTCTGTGAATTCTGTAGTGGTAATCAGTCCTGCTTTTAAAACTTCTGGTTTTAATGTCAATATAGAGGAATGTGCATAAGTGGTAGAATATCTGAAGTAACTGTATATATTGCTCTCTTTCTCCCACTTAATTTTGTACAATGAATTCATAAAATGCTTTCATAAAAAACCTAATGTTTTCATATAAATTGGTAATGGTCTATTAATTTTCTATACACAGAGCTTTATTTACAAGAGACATTTAAACCTTTAGTGAACATCTCCCCAGATGCGAGGTAGGATTTTGCTTTTCTGTCTGGTTAACTTGAAATGAGCTAACTCCATCTCAACACTGAACTTAAGATTTCTTTATGTAATAAGAAATAATTTACACTGTAAACTAGAGTATAGTAAAAAAGGACTGTCTTTTAGTATAATCAAGGTATGGGACCTTTTTATTGTGAGTGAGGACTTTTTTTAATTATCCAAAGAAGAGAATTTTTAGTTTAACTTTTGCCTTTTGTCAGTGTAACTGTTCTGGTAAACAAACTAGACGTGGACCAAAATTAATTGCCAAAAATGATGCAAAAAAGGTGACATGATGACCCTTCAAACTAGCCTGCAAGTGGTGTTTTTGCAGGAAAATCAAAAACTGTACAGAGCCTTTCTGATGTCTTTTTCTCAGCATTCATAGTAATTGAAAACTTACAGTACTTTTCAACCCAAGTAACTTTCCTTAACTAAAGGAAAGGCAGTATCTGTGTGGTTTGTCCTGCTCTGCTATGAGGTGGTGTTCCTTAAAATATAAATGACTGTCCTTTTTTCTTCTTGATGGAATTTGAAAGAAATAGTTTTTAAACTGCCATTATACCTTATTTACCAAAGATAACTTCAGAGACAGTTGATCACTTAACAACTTGAGTACTACTTAATTGCTCCACCAAAGAGTGAAATTCTGATTCTTGCTTTCAGTTTGTGGAGTAGGATTGTTTATGCCTTGTTAAAGCAAACTGGTGAGGGGAACTCTAGTGTTTACCTCAAAGTAGTGATATGCTGTATCCTCAATAGAATTGCCACTAAGTCATGAGTAAGTCGTTCAGTTAAGTCATAAGGAATGTATTTTGAATGGTAGCTGGTTGCGAAGAATATCCTTAAGACAACAAAATCGTATAATTGCTTTCAGTCAACGGTGCAGCAAGAGAAGTATTGCAATAAAGAAGATGCAGTAGGACGTATATAAAAGGATACAGCAAGTCAACTTAAGACCTGACCCAGAAATGGCTTTGGGTTCTGTGACAGTCAGGCTGCAGCAGTTAAATGTTTACTCCAGGAGTGGAATCTACAGTGGGAATCTTGGCTCCATGTGTATCAAATGGGGATAGTTCATCCTGTAATGGACTCAGAACATATAGTTTATTGAGAATGGAAGGAAGCCTACTCCGGCAAGTAGGCGTTTATTAAAGTTTTACTGACTTTATTACTTACTAATTTATTGCAATTGGTGGTCAGCTGTTTTATCATAGTCTTACTAGGACCAAGGGGGGAAAAAAGTGTTACTTGCAAGAAAAGCAGACTTGCACAGGTTGGAGTATTGCTAAATTGAAGTCTGCAGCATCTGTAGGAATGTTTCAGATCTCCCGAAAAGAACTTTTTGCCAATCCCTAACCATAATTCAATGAAAAGATTAGATAATTGTTTTGGCTTAATTGCATATATGCACTTATCCATAAAAATGCTCTTTCTAGAAAATGTTACAGAAGTTTGGGATTGAGATGTATTAAGGGAAGGAATGCTCTGTTTTCCAGTGTTTGCCTGTCTCTGAACAGAAGTATCCATTCTCAGTGCAGGGATACTGTGAGCACAGCACTCACTGGAAAAACAATTTACACTTCTGCAGAAATATTTCTGCTATCTTTCTACCACAAAAAGTAACTTTCCATCACATTTGCTTACTGGCTTTAGATGTTCATGAGCATATCATTGTTGATCTGTTTTACCAGCTGCAAAAGTTAATTTGAAATCCTTTAACTTCTGTTTTCTATAACATTAAATATAATACAAATAATTACTCATGATATGTACTTCATGGGGGTTTGTAAATATGTGTATATATCACTTGACATTACTCATTGTCAGCTAGAATTCATTTTTTAAAAAGAATAATATTTTTCTTCTCAGCCTTTTTGATGCTGTATATTCATTGATCAAAAACAAAATCCACAGATTGCCAGTTATAGATCCCGTCAGTGGAAATGCACTTTATATACTTACCCATAAAAGAATCCTCAAGTTCCTCCAGCTTTTTGTAAGTATTTAAAGTCATGCTTTGTTTAACTGATTTATTCCCCCCCAGTAGACATCTTTAAGTCTTAGTACAGCCCTTGCTGTCCTTTCTGGAAGATCTACTCAGCTTCAGAAGCTTGTTTACATGAATAGAAAAATGAATTGTTTCCCAGAGATGAGATTATCATTACTCACGGTAGCTTATGCTAGTCACAGGAACGAATAGGAGGCCAAACAAAGCAACAAGAGTTCAAAATAAGCATTCAGCCTATAGTATGTTTTGCTGTCTTCTCTCTCCAGTTTCGGTGGGAATTACAGAGCTTCGGATCAAAAGCTTTTAGTGATGGGTTACTATAAAGATAAATAAATGAGAGAAAAAATTAGTTACGTAGTCTTAATTTAGAGCTTCTTTGAACAGAAGTAGTGCCTCTAGATCCAAGCTTGGTTTGGCTTTACATGAATCTAGTAGCAGATTACTGTAACAATCTGTAACAATCATTTGGAGTCTGTAGATGGATGAGTGAATACAGATTTCCTAATGCATATACCAATCATATGGAAACATGGTAGGTGTAGAAAACTGAACTGTAAATACATTCATTCTGTCTTTCCTAGATGTCAGAGATGCCAAAGCCTGCCTTTATGAAGAAGAATCTGGATGAACTTGGAATAGGAACTTACCACAACATTGCCTTCATACATCCAGACACTCCTATCATTAAAGCCTTGAATATATTTGTAGAGAGAAGGATATCGGCATTACCTGTTGTGGATGAGTCAGGTGTGTGTTGGGTCTTCTGTATACAAAAGCGTGTTAAGATAAATGGTGCTGAACCCTGGATTGATTGCATGGGGTAGGAGGAGGAGAAAGAGTAAATAAAATACAAAAAAAAAAAAAAAAGATGAGAGGACAAAGGGAATATAAAGACATTTATGCAAGATGTAGGTTGATAGGCTTGGAAGAGCTTCATAGTTTCATAGGTTAAGGGTTTTTTTCCATGTTTCCTTCTTGATCTGTCCGTTTACTTTCTGTGTAATTATAAGATCACCAATAAAAGCAGGAAGCAAGAAAACTAATTTTGTATTTTAAGCACTAACTTTGTTTTTCTTTTTAGGAAAAGTTGTAGATATTTATTCCAAATTTGATGTAATAGTAAGTATATCTCTTAAATTCTATTAATTATTTTATATTCAGTAAACATTGGCAAATTTATTAATACGTCAATTTTGGCTATTGTGTTCCTTAAGCTTTAGTTAACAGACTGACTAAAATAGATTCAATTCACTCTGCACAGCATTTCTTAATTATTTTTGATTTAAGCTATCCTTAGTAATACTACTTGCACACAGGCATCTATTGCTCTGGATGTTACCCAAAATTAGATCTGGCTGTACTCTTAGAAAAAGAGAGCATGGGCTTTTAATGTTTGTTTCTTTTTTTGAGAGAGGATTTTATTTTTCCAGCTGCTGCAATTCCATGGTCTGTTTTCAAAGGGAACGCAGATTTCTCCATGCAGTCTGGGTACTTTGTACAACTTGACCTTCTCAGTGAATTAAAATGACTTGGCCCATTCTTTTGTGTGAGTCTCTGACTCCAGAGTATTGCATCTGTATTCCTTCTGGTTTAGATATAATTCAGGCCACTGTTTCTGGTTTTCCATGAGGAGTGCAACAGCGTAGTCAGATTCATGCCATGATTTGTGAATCTTAGAGAGCAAGGGCTCTTCTATTCTTGTGGTCTTCAGAAAATTGAAAAATATATTTAGGGGTTTTTATTATCCCTGTCCCCTCCCACCTGTATACACCTGCCTTCGAACTGGAACTTCTGATAGCTATATTATTTTTTAGATATTTAAGTGCCCAAGTTGCTTATTCCACCAGCCTGCTAGTGCTAATGAAGAATCCAGATGTCTGAAACACTGCGTAGAATGCTTTCAGAAATACGGAGAATAGTCCCAAATGGAAATACTTCAAGCTTATAAATATCTCTGGCTGCAAACTGTGCTCTTAATCCAGAAAATTTCATGATGTCATTGTTCTTGCCTGTCTTTTCTAAGCATTTGTCTCTTTGTTCTTTGGGATTCTCTACTGTGTAAGATCCTGTTCTGCCATAAAAGCTGGTCAGGGAATAGGTAGTAGCTGTAGCGAGAACGATCTAACATATCAAAGACAATGAAATTTCACAGCTGGTGGGTTCAGTGTTTCGATTTATTTTGTAACTGCATTAAACTTTGAGGCAGGACATGTTTCCTTTGTTTCCCATTCTTTTTCGAAGACACTAAAAGGAAGAGGGTTCCTTACGTTTTTCATATCTTTACTCATTTTAAGCGATGGGGTAAAAAAAATGCTGGATCATTTCTTTGGAAAAATTATGCATTGGGATCAGGAAAGAAAAAATACCACAAAGGCCTTAGAATATAATTGTTTGCTCCCGGCTAGTAACATGGGAGAGAGTTAGGGCATCTATCAATTATTTGAGATTTTCCTAACATATACTAGTCTGCCTATTAAATGGAGGGAAAAAAGATTCTTTTCTTACAAGATAATCACCTCTGAGGCTTGCAGTTTTTCATCGGTCTGCTTCAACCTGATCTTCAAGCTTTAAAAGAAGAGGAAAAAAATCTGAAACGTATAATCCGATCTTCCAATAAATACTGAATTTGCAAGATTTAACTGGTGATTATTAACTTTAAACCATGTGGGTAATATGCTTAGTTAAATCAATGCTTTAAGCTGTGCCTGTATATACATCTCACTAAGTCGATAGATTGCTTTCATTTTAATAGAGTTCTGAATTAATTTTCAGGTTCTTGATGGGAGAAACCTAGGAATGGTGTGATGGTACAGAAATAGCTTTATATTACACTAGTTATTGTGTGTAGGGTGACTTCAGTTTGCAGAGGCTTTTTATGTTCTAATGTCCTTCATTAGGAATTAGTTAAATGAGTTAACTAAAACTGCTTGTATTATCTTCATAATCATCTCAAACCTATCTTGTCACGTTCAGCGTAATTCAATCCAAAATCTTGACCAATGACCAATCACAGTATATCCTAGCCAGAAATTAATTTCATTTTACTGCTTGGTCCAGTGTTTTCATTTTAAAGGTCTGTCTGTGTTGTTCCTTCAGTGCTTCAGCACAGAAAATCAGTAGGTCAGGATGTACCAACACTGTCCAAATATCGCTATGGTCTCACCTAGAAATAAGGTGTAGGTGTGGTAAGGTCTGAACAAAGTCCTCTTACTACAAGCATGGTCCTGTGCTTAAAATGAAAGTTGAGAATGTCAGCTTTCAAACTCTTTTAATCTCACTACTTTTAGTGGCGGTGATGAGTTTTCATTTATATTATTTTTATAGTACTTATTAAAATATATATGCGTGCACACACACGTTGTTGTCAATGGTAGTTCCAGCACAGTCCAGGAGAGGGAGTTTGAGCCCACAAATAGGAAAGGTGAAGAAAACCTTTTATTTGCTCTCTAATTAGATCTTCATTAAGATCTACTTCATGAGTGGTGTTCAGAGCAGTTGGTGTCCTCCCCTATCCTATGAAAAACAAACAACAAAAAATTGTGTATTCCTAAAGTATATTCTATATATTCTAAAGTCTGGAGAACTTCATCTTTACATTTTCTACTCATGGCAAAAGCAGGATGAGTCACAGCAAGCCAAATATCAGATAGCAAAGTAAGGAGTCTTTCATTGGCCTAATGTGTTTTACCAATTAACCCTTTCTGTCATATGGTGTTTAACATAATTGCATGTTTGACTGTTCCCAAAAGCTGAAGAGCATCTGCTTTGTTTAATATGTGACTAAGAACAGGCTCAATTTACACCAGAAATGTCTATCTACTTGATGCCAAAGAGTACTTTATTATGAAACACTGAGATGTGTTATGTGCCTTGGGCTTTGTTGTTTGTTTTGTGTTGTTTTTTTTCAGAATCTTGCTGCTGAAAAAACATATAATAACCTAGATATCACGGTGACGCAAGCCCTACAGCACCGTTCTCAGTATTTTGAAGGTGTTGTAAAGTGTAGTATGCTGGAAACACTGGAAACCATTGTGGATAGAATAGTGAAGGCTGAGGTGAGTTTGCTTTTTATCTTTCCCCTTCACTGCTAATTAAAAGTTGTATTACCAAACTAAGAAATAATACAAATTTATCCTAAGTTATTTTGGTTACTTGGTGAAAGTATTTTTTTCCTTAACTACGTGTGTTAGGTATCAGTTTGCTTTATAGACTTATCTTATAGATGCTTATAGTGCTGTACAAAATACTGTACAGTACATCTGTAATAACACTCGGTTATTTGTATTTCTGTTTTATGACATAAACTGAACTGAATGCGAAGCTTGTTTGAAAGAATCAAGTTTCTTCCAAGCCTGCCACAGGTTTTGCAGACAAATCATTCTTTAAGATCCGTCTTACAGCTAGGTTGATTGGCCTGTCGTTCAGGAAATTTAATGGGTACAATTAGTTAATACGTATGGAGTCCTGAACTGCTCTCATACAAATACTGTGAAACAGGGCCAGAAAATAAATTCTTGTGAATAAGGCTGCACTAACTGCTCTTGTAAAGGCTTTATCTGTGTGCTTTCTGTTCTTTTGGTGCTGTTTATCTTGTTTGTTAGTACTAGGAACTTTTCTTACACATGGAGGTGAATGAGTATGTAGGTCTTCCTCCCCTGTTATGCCTCTCTGCAGAAGAAAATCAGTATTACCAGTTGCAGTTGTCTCTGAGGTGTGATCAAATCCATTTAGATGCTTTAACTTCTTCAATTACAAGATTTTATTCTTTTTTTCGTCTTCAGGGCTGTAACTGTACATATACTTGATATAAGTGAAACTTCCACTTTGTTAATATCCCCTTAGAACCTCCATTAGGCAATTTTAACTTTCTATATTTTCTTGAGCTTCTTCCTGAAACTGAATAATTTTAGCATTGCTGACAAACATATTTCAAATTTGAATAATTTTACTACTATCTTAAGCTTTAGACATTGGTGTTTTAAGAACAACTCCTACCCTTTGGTTCAGTCTAAACATAGTGAGATTATATGTAAAAGTGAGTCAGTCAAAACTACAGCCTATTTTTAGCTGCCAGACGAGTGCTTGATCTTACTGGAAATGAAACAAATGAAACAAACAACTGCATTGTCCATTTTTCTTGAATGCATTACACTGAGAGAAGAATAAAATGATTAAATATGTGTATATACAAAAACTAATAACCCTGTCTAAAATATCACCTACATAGTTTCATCAAAAAGAAAATGCAACAATATTTTCTCTCCATTCTCCCCCCGCCCCTTTTTCTTTCCTCCCTGTGTCAGGTGTGTATGACTGTTCAAATAATTTGGAGCTCCTCTTTTCTTGTATCTGACTAGCAACAAAGTCGTTGACCTCAACCATAGTAACATGCCTATTAAGTCAAGACTGATGCAGCTTTTTTGCCATCACCTCTGTGAGGAGATGAGAAAAATTCTTTTCGCTTTCTTTACGATTATATCTGATTATTTGAACTTCCAATAGTGAAGAGAGAGAATTCACTTGGGTAAAAAGTAAACACATAGTAGGCTCTCAACCTTTGACAAACACCCTAATTTAGGATCGCTTAACTTATGAGCTGGTTCAGCTGTGATGTTTAGGTTATACAACTCTGTGTGCACTTGCAGTGTACTCTGGTGCCAGGACTGACACAAGGGCACTCTCCTGGGTCTGTGGTGGTCTTTCGCTGCTGGATCCTGCTCTGGCCGATGAGCCTTAGGATATAGGAGCATCCGCCTGCTTTCCCCACAGTTAGGATGAAAGTTTTGTAGTATATAAATGTTTCCTAGAATAGATTTGTAATGATAAAATCATTATTTAAAAATACAGTCTTACTGTTCATAAATCCTTCTTCCAAGTTGTGTCCTTGTGTTTATTAACTGTACAGTGAGTTTGCACAAATAACTTGAATCTTTTTTTCTGTCTTCATACAAAATGAGAATTTTAAAACCAAGCTGGCACTCAGTTTCAATTGTCTAGCCCTATGAGAAAAAATAGGTTAAAACCAACTTGGACATGTCAAGATACAACATGTTTTACTGCTTCTCTCTGCTGAGAAAGTATTTTTCAGAAGGAAGCCTCATTTTATACTGTATCTTATTTTTGGAGATCGCAGGCTGAGTTGGGCAGAGCCTGTAACCTGAGGAAAAGCGTTTGATGCGAGTGCCACTTTTTGAGAGCAGAAGTATCCTAAAGACCCAGATCTTGGCTTAGCTGGCACTTCAAATCTGATTTTGTTGCCATGTCAGATAGCTGTGTGCTTTTTAAACATGCACTGGTTTTCATTTATGTAGGGTAAGCATGTTCACACTGCAGTGTGAGATTAATATTGCCAACACTTTGAACCATTCTTTTTGGTTTTTTCGACTTGTCTTCATACTGCATTACTTTAAGATGGTTTTGTTTTTCTTTGCTTTAGCTATTATTTTAAATCAGGCAAATATCTCAAAATGTTTTCCCTGCTTGCAGGTTCATCGTTTGGTGGTAGTGAATGAAGCAGATAGCATTGTGGGTATCATCTCCCTTTCTGACATTCTACAAGCTTTGGTACTCACTCCAGCAGGTATGGATGTTGCCTTCTGAGCTTTGCCATAAGTCATTTGGTAGAACGTACACCCTGCGGGTTTTAATTTATTTGACAATTACAAACTTACGATTTTTCAACTTTTGTAACTGTTTGGTCATAGTCCTTAAATAGACTTTTCATTTTTCTTCAGGAAAACGCTGACAAAATCTTAACTGTCAGTCTTTTGCTTACTGAGGAATGCATGCAGAAGCTTCATGAACGTCATTGCTGTTCATATATCTTTTTAGAAAAAAAAAAAAAAAGGTCTTGATTAATGTTTTAACAGGAAAAACAGGACAAAGTTGAATGTTGCACATATAGACAACATCTGCAACAGGGCGCCTTCCCCACCTTCCTGAATTTCTGTACTCTGGCCAGTGCTCCCAGTGTGGGTGCAGCTGTGCTTTCCACTAGCGCTGCAAAACTGCCTCCTTGGAGCCCTGCAGTTGTCCAGCTGTGCTGTGGGTTTTGTTTGGCATAGCTATGTCTGAGACTTCACCCCAGACGACCAGAATTATTCTAGTAGAAATCTCTATAGTGTATTACTAAACATGATCCGGTTCCTTTTAACAAGAGTATCCAACAATAGGTTTATTTCTGCTACTTTTATGCTGGTTTCGGGGTGGGGCGAGGGTTGGTTTTCTTGTCTGTGTTTTTTTTGGTTTTGGTTTTTTTTTTTTTTTTTTTACACTGTGCTCAACTTACTAACCTGCTTTATGTCCTTAATTGGAACTTCACTTTGACCACATAAGTGACTTCAGTGTAACAACTACTAAAGCAAAGCCCTCTTTTGGCTTTGTGAGGAAGACAAAAAATGTCTCGAGGATTACAATTTTGCCTCAAAAAAAAATATCAGACTAAGCAAATGGAGCTGGATACATCCTCCAAAAAAGGAATTCTAAACGTGAGCTTAACTGGGATCTCTCACTTGCACTGATAGATAACATGATAATGTAGAAGTCTTTATCCTCTGTAGATTTAAAAAAAGTTAATGTAGCTTTTTAAAATAGTAAGATTTCTCCTCTGAAAAGAAGTAATCCGTGATACTGCTGGAAGTGTCAGTGCATCTTGTTCCTTTTAATGACCTGGAAGAGCAAGTAACCCAGCTTTCTGTGGAAGGTACAGATGAGCATGAGGAATCAGCCCAAAGGCCTGGGTCAAATGGGCTCATGGCCTAGGGAGAATGGAGGGGTATGTGTCCCTCCTAAGAGGGAGATGTAAAGACGTGCAGACAGTGTCTCTACAGGCAGAGGAGGTAGTTTCCCCTGTGACTGGAGAGTGGAAGGATCCAAGGAGGGTAGATCGTACTATTAATGGAGCAAAGTTTAGACAGAAAAGATGAATCTGGATACTTACAAACCAAGAGCTTGGTTATACTGGAATTACACGGACACTTAAGTTGCAGCTCTGTGAGCTGATGTAACAGTGCTCTGTAATTAAAAAGGGCATTTCCTGCTCCCATACTCTGGGCCATGTGCTTCTGGCATTTAGTGTGTGACAGCACCCAGCCTCGCACCATCCCTCTGAGCTGCTTTAACTCATTGATCTAAGAGAAAACTGAGCCAGCAAAAAAGCTGCAGAGTTTTGTCAGTCTGGCTCGCAGAAGAGTCTAGTACTGAGTATAGGAGTTAGAGCAACAGAGGGGACAGGATTATGCCACTGGAAGAGGTGAGATGAGGGAAGGCATTGTTAGGAGCAGTTAGGCGTTAGATTGCAGTTCCACAGGCAACTGCCCCATTTTAAATTGGGATTTGTCTCATGAAGTGAGGGTGTCTGCAATGTAGATCTAGTTTGTAGAGTCGGGAGTGTGATTTACGTCTTAAAGTGGATGTGTAAGAATGACCAGATAAATCATGCCCTAAAAGTCTTCTTCACAGACTAGAAAGGAAAATGTATTGACTGGCAGGAATTAAGACCAGCCTGTGTTAGGGGGGGGGGGGGAGTATCAGTTGTGATGTGAAAACTGGACATATTTAATTAATCAAACACTGAAAGATTCTACGTTACAAGCAGTAACTCCAGGTTGCTGGCAAGAGATCCTTGCTGTCTGGAGTTGGATGCTGAAGCCAAACTCGCCATAGGGTTCAGTCGTTGCCCCATGTGGCTAGTCTGAGTGTTTGGAGAAGAGGAAGATGCTATTCAGTTCTGATGAAGAGGTCTCTCAGCTCCCTACTGTAAGCAAAATCTGCCTCTGAGCCAGGAAAAAATGGGTCCTTCAACACAGTGTAGTTAAACTGAATTCTAATATGGTTTGTTCTCAAGCAGGACTTCATTTTTTGAGGCTATTATGATGATTAAGGTTGGCTTCTAAGCTGATGGACAGGTTTGGGGTGTGGCTTTTTGGTTGGGGCTTTTTAAACTAAATTTTTGTGCTGGGGAATATCTTCAAAGCCACTTTTAGTAACTTCCCAGAAGAGTTACTTAGACTACCTTGCCAACGAAGTTAGAAGCAATGAGGGTCTCAAGGCCTTCCTCACTCTGTTCCCGTCAGCATTTCACAATCCTGTGGTCTCTTCTTTATAAATGGTATCCAGTACTGAGATTCTGATAACATGGTCGGACAAAGTTGCAGCATTCAGAATGAGCCGTGCTTTTCCAGAAGCCATGTGCTACCTGCGTAAGGAAATCACGCTTGTTTCCTCTTCTGTTAACAGGTGCCAAACAAAAGGAGAATGAAAGTGAATGACTGCTGTGAATGTATACATGTCTGTAGGAGAACTTGAACAAAGTTTCTGGGTCAAGTTTGTCTCAAGAACAGTGACTGCAATGGAAACAGAGCAGGATGGTTGAGAATGTGTATTGGGACTTAGTGATGGATGATGAGTCTCTTCCCCCCAGTGATGTCGCAAAAAAAAGCAGCATGACAAAAGCTTATGTTAAAATGTAGGCTTGTATTTCAAAATGTCTTCAAAACATTTGCTGGAAGACTTCACATGATGTCCTTCATTAAAATGCACTGTATTCTGAAACTTTTTCATTTTGTATTTGACAGAAGTCACTGGTCAGCAATGGATATATGTGACATAAGGCAAGTGTATGGCATATTCATATCATAGTGCCTTATGTCAAAATACAGCAATATGTCATCACTGTTGCCCATCACTGTCAAAGGAAGTATTGTGCTAAACGAGACACTGTATTTGAATGTGAAAGTCTTTAAACCTAAAACCAAATCAGTTTCAGTTCTCATTAGATTTGTCATAAAAGCTGTAATTTGAATATCAGTAGACTTCTTTAAAACTTTAATGACAGTTTTGTGTTAAATGTTGCATTCTGAACTGAGATGTAAAACAAGACTGATTTTAAAAACAGCTTTATTTATTTTTACTTTCATGACAATTTTTTACACATCTTTGGTGGATAGCTAAAATTTCACCATATCCATTAATAAACTGTTGATTGTTATACAAACAAGTGGTAGATTTTTCTCATTATTTAAAACTTTGGAGTTGCAGTAGCTGTGGCCTGTTGATCAGTCCATAGTACTTGAGCTGAAGATTCCAGAAGCGCAGATCGAGAGAGCTCTGTACTGTAATACACAGGTACTGTGGAGGAAATTAGGTGCTAGAAAACAATCTTTTTGTCTGTATTAAAGTGTAAAACAATGTTTGTACAACAAAACTGAAACTTTTTATTGTGTATGATTTGTACAGGAGTGGAGGAGCGAGGAAAGCTGTGGGGTGTTTGCTAATGTAAATGTGCTGTAAAGTTTGAAGATGAGACTTTTATAATTGTAGATTCTTGTAGATGGAAGAAATTAAACCCTACAACATCAGTTGGTTTTAGCGGTTCTTGCCGAGTCCTTTTGCATGTATAAATGTACGTGCATTTTGATTACTGTAAACTAGGTATAGAAGCATTCTGACCTTAAAGGTGGCTTATGCTAATGGAATAATGCAGGCAGTACTTTTTACTGTGTTTCCAGCTTGAGTACTGTACCGGAATAATGGCAGTAAATGGATCCGTTATTTTTCCATTTATAAACATTGAAGTAAAAGGTTAACAGGTTTCAGTTTGCTTATAAAATGTGAGGGTTTTAATAGTAATGAAAAGCCCTTTCTTCAGAACTTTTCCACTTTCTATAAGAATTTAAATTTTGAACTAAATGTGTGGAAAATTTTCTTCGTATCTTTCATGTATAAAAATGTTCCTGTAGTACATAATGGGAGCTGTTCTCTTTAGACTTTATCTCACTTTCTTACTCTGTGAAAAACATTGTCAAGTCTTCTCCCGTACCTTTTCTGACTAGGTAAATATCGACTCTATTCCCTGCAATTCCAGCTGGTATTGAACTGAAATAGCTGTTTTGCCTGAACAGCAGCGACCTTGGGGTCGGGTGCTGATTGCCGCTATCCAAGATGACATCAGCACAGCTCTGATTGTCTTTGCTGGGGAGATGGAGTGCTAGAAACTAAAAACAGTGGCTCTTGTTCTTTGTGGGGTGTGTGTGGAGGGGATAATTTGTGGTAGATGAGAACTTTGTATTAAGGAAAAGTGGTCAGCAGCAGTACCTGCAAATGCCACCCAGGCCGCGTTAGATGCAGCTGCGTGAAAGCCCAGCTCCTGCTCCAGCTCCTGCAGGGCAGGCTCCTCTTGGAGGCGGGATGCCAGGGAGCTGCCTAAATGCATCACTCTCTCTCCCTATCCCAAGTCTGCATGAGCATGTTCTTCAGCCCTGTGTTCAGGGTGTTTTCGAAGATGATGAAGAGTTGAGCCAATGATACTCTTTTTTTTTTTTTTTTTCCTTTATATATATACTTTATTTTTTAGCATTAAGTCTTTTGGCCCTGTTCCATGCAGACAGCTTTGGGCCTGTCTGTATAAATTAGTATGCAGAAAGCCAGAATGAATTTGCAGTTTTTGAACCACTGTGCACAGACTTCCTCTTTTAACATTATTACAAGTGCTGTTGACGTGTGGTGGACACAGGACTGGCAAAATCATGGAAATCAGCCGCCTCAGTGATGCAAAACTGTATTTGGAGAATTTCCACCTTTACTTTCTGGAATTCAGTTCTGAGTTTTGAATTTGTGAGAAGTAGAATCGCGGTGTAACTCCACAAGCATGAATAAACAGCAGTGCTATCAAAAAGGCACTCTGCTTGTACTGGCACAAGTACCAGTGCTGATGCAGTAAACAAAACTAAAGAAATCATGTCATTTTTAATACAGATCAGTTTACTACAAAGCTAGAAAAATGCTTGTTCCAGCATAAGGGAGGGACAGGAATAAGTAAATGAGGGTAGAGAAAGGAGGATTGACTCTGCAGCAGTGCCGCATGTACCAGATTAAAGTGACAGTGCAACGAAAACTTTCATGTAGGACTCCACGTGGGTCGTGAGAGGCCTCAGCCATGGAAGAGAATGAATAAAATATCCTTACACTCAAGTTCCTGCACATCTGTTTCCCGTGGACAGGCAGCAAGCAGAACCTGTCACTCTGAGACCACAGCCACAGCTCCAGGGCTCCCTTTCTTCCCACAGCCAGGACCCTGCTGCAGCTGGAGGTGGCAGTAAGCTCCCCCGGGGACTCTGCTGAAAGCCTCTTCCATCAAGCAGGTGATCTTCTGTCCTGAGGACGTGAGACACAGTAGAAATGGACTCTGTTTTAACCAGTAGGACTATGAAAGGTGTGATTGATTCCTGTGCTTCTGTCCGCATTTCCTTGCCCAGGAAGAGATGTCTCTGAAAGATGATTATTCTAAAGGGTTTCTTGGTCTTGGGAGCGGGTTAAGTTTGGGTTTTACCTACCCTGAATATTTTTAGCTGTTTAGGTGTAAGAAAATGCTTCTTAGTGGACTTCAGCCCTCAATATTTTTCAGTATCTAGAGATGCTCTGAACTAACTTAGGAAAAATCGCACTTTGCTGGCATTGATCACTTGACTGATGAAAACGTTTTTCTGTTTTACTCCTGGAATCCTTCTGCTTAAAGGGCTGAGATCTTTAAGCCCCCCCTCCCCCCGGCAGTATTTGCTGTTCACTGAGCATGAACCGCGATTGTTGCGGATCCAAGGCCTATTCATCTTCTT